TCTCTCTCTCCCCCAAACACTCTCTCTCCCCCCAAACACTCACTTACCCTGTCTCTCTCTCCCCCAAACACTCACTCACCCTGTCTCTCTCCCCCAAACACTCACTCACCCTGTCTCTCTCTCCCCCAAATACTCTCTCAGTCACTAAACACTCACTCACCCTGTCTCTCTCTCCCCCCAAAACTCTCTCAGTCACTAAACACTCACTCACCCTGTCTCTCTCCCCCAAATACTCTCTCAGTCACTAAACACTCACTCACCCTGTCTCTCTCCCCCCAAACACTCACTCACCCTGTCTCTCTCTCCCCAATTACTCTCTCAGTCACTAAACACTCACTCACCCTGTCTCTCTCTCCCCAAACATTCTCTCAGTTACTAAACACTCACTCACCCTGTCTCTCTCTCCCAAATACTCTCAGTCACTAAACACTCCTCACCCCTGTCCCCCCCAAATACTCACTCACCCTGTCTCTCTCTCCCCCAAACACTCTCTCAGTCACTAAACATTCACTCACCCTGTCTCTCTCCCCCCCAAACACTCACTCACCCTGTCTCTCTCTCTCCCCCAAACACTCTCTCAGTCACTAAACACTCACTCACTCTGTCTCTCTCTCTCCCCCAAACACTCTCTCAGTTACTAAACACTTACTCACCCAAACACTCTCTCAGTCACTCTGCAAGTATGTGCATAGAGGCTGTAGTATATGTGTGTGTAGGTGATGTAGGGTGTGTAGAGGTTGTAGAGAGTGAGGTAGAGTGTGTGTGTATAAGGGGCTTAGTGTGTATAGGGGATGTAGCGAGTGTGTGCATGAAGGCTGTAGTGTATTTGTGTATAGGTGATGTAGTGTGTGTAGGGGTTGTAGAGAGTGTGTGTTTAGGGAATGTAGTGTGTGCTTGCTTACAGGGTATCTAGTGTGTGCATAGGTGATTCAGAGTGTGTGTGTTAGGAATGTAGTACGTGTGTAGGTGGTGCAGTGTGTCTCTAGGGGATTTAGTGTGTGTCTGTGGAGGACCCAGGCTGTGTTTAGGGGATCTGGTGTGTGTATGTGTGTTTGTAGAGGATCCATATTTGTGTAGGATCCAGATTTGTATAATGGATGTAGTGTGTATGTATCTGGAAAGTGTGTAGGGATGCAGTATTGGGAGTAGCTACATGTGTGTAAGGGGTGCAGTGTGTTTGTGAAGGGTGCAGTGTATGTGCAGTGCAGTGTGTGTGTGTGCTTGAGGGGTGCATTGTGTGTGTAAACAGTACAGTGTGCAGTGGCGTACATACCAGGGTCGCAAGGGTTGCGGCTGCGACCGGGCCCGGCCCACCAGGGGGCCCAGTCACCCCTGCAACCCGGTATGTACCCACAGGGCCAGCCTCTTCTCCTGGGGGGCCCAGGAGCCGGCCACCTCAGGACCCCCCAAGGCTGGCCCTGCTGACCCGGGCTGTCTGTCTGGGTGGCCGGTGCGCGAGGGAGCACTCTCCCCTGTGTGCTTCCTCTTCAGCTCCCTCGCGCACCGCACTGATACCGGAGCCGGAAGATGACGTCATCTTCCGGCGCCGGCATCCCTATGCGGCGCACGAGGGAGCTGAAGAGGAAGCACACAGGGGAGAGTGCTCCCTCGCGCACCGGCCACCCAGACAGACAGCCAGCCCGCCCAGCAGCACCACTGGACCCGAGGGAATCCCCCCAGCTCTCTAAAAGGTAAGGAGGCTGGGGGATTCAATTTAAAAAAAAAAATGTGTGTGTGTGTCAGGGTTTCTTTGCTGTTTTAAACAGCCACCCTTCCTTTTTCAGTGTCTGAGGTTTCAGCTGTAATTAACGATCAGCTCCTTCAGTATGTTGCCACGGTTACACACCTGAGAATAGTAATCAACCCTGCTGCTAATCAGTTCAGCCTATTTAAGCAGCTAATCCCAGAACCTCCAGGCCCTTGCGTGGTTTCCTGTTCCCCAGAAGTCTCCTTGTGCCTGTGTTTCCTGTTTGCTCCTGGTTCCTGACTCTGGCCTTGTTCCTGACTCCGCTGCTCTCCGTTCTCTTGATCCTGGCTCGTCTGACTACCCGCTCTGGTGACTGACCCCTGCTTGCCTCCTGGACTTTGCTTTTGGTTATTTCTTTGTTATTTATTAAATAAAGGTGTTTTGCATCTAGATCTGTCTCTGTCTGGTTCCTGGTTCCTGACATTACGCAAGGGCCATGAATACAGATGGTACAGGCAATACACCTATACCTAACCTATTTACCCGGTGGGACCAGCAGAACCACCATTTGGACCAGTATGTCCATCTGAATCCAAAACCCGGCCAGCCTGCGATTGCGGCCGCCTCTGCCTCACTTCCTGTTCTGGCACCGGTTGTAGCCTCCGAACCTGTTGCGGCTAGAGGAATGACTGGGTCTGTCCCGCTCCCTCAGTATTTTGGGGGCAACCCAGCTCAGTGCAAAGAATTTATAAATCAGGTTAAAGTATACCTTGAAATGCTGCCCCAGGCATTTCCTACAGACAGCGACAAAGTCCAGTTCATGATTTCTTTGCTGTCTGAAAAAGCCCTAGCTTGGGCAAAACCTCTCTGGGAGGCAGAGAGGCCCATCATTTACAATTACCCTGAATTTGTTGCATCCTTTAAAAGGGTTTTTGATATTCCAGCTCGCTCCACTCCTACTGCCAAACAACTCATGTCTAATACTCAGGGCACGAAAACTATTGTTGAGTATGCCAGTGAATTCCGTACCATGGCAGCAGAGGGTGGCTGGAATAACGAGATTCTCGTGGCTGCCTTTGCACAGGGGCTCTCCGATGTAATGAAAAATGAGATTGCAGCCAGAGAATTACCTAAAGATCTCGAGGAACTGATATCATTTGTCACCCTCATTGACATCAGACTCCAAGAGATCCTCATCCAGGGAGCGCCTGCGGAGGCCTCCAGTATGTTTGGCACCGAGCTTTTCCTGCCCACCCAAACCTCCCTCACCTCCCATGCCTCCTGGTCCTGAGTCCTCTGTCGGTGTGGAGCCGAGGCGGTTAGGCTTCTCACGCCTCTCTGTTGAGAAGAGAGCCTTTAGGAGGAGGGAGAGCCTGTGCCTATACTGCGGACACCACGGTCACATATTAAAGTTTTGCCCGATTCGTCCGGTAAAGGGCCCGCACCCAAGATACTGTCAGGGGCAGATCTTGGGGGGTCTTTCTGCAGACCCAGAGATAAATAAGGACAAACCTTTGGTGCCTATTATCCTCTCCTGGCCGGAGTCATCCATTAAAACCCGGGCATTTCTTGATTCTGGGGCCGCAGGCTTGTTTATAGATTGTGCATTTGCATCAGAGCACTCTATACCCTTACAGCCTCGCAACTCCCCACTAGCTTTCGAAGCCATCGATGGCCGACCTATACAGCCAACCCTCGTGACCCAGGAAACCGTGCCCATATCTCTGGCTGTAGGGGCTCTACATCATGAGATGATCCAATTCCAGGTCATTTCCTCTCCATACTACCAGGTTGTTTTGGGATACCCTTGGCTACAGAAGCATAACCCCACAATTGATTGGCGCAA